CACCAGGGTGGTTTTCTTTGACTGAGTGACCATCCATTCAGCCACTCCATCTAACCCAGAGGAGCCGTCACCACCCCACTAATTAAAGTTACCAATGTCTGCTCAATGGGGCCTTATCATTGCATAGTCCAAGGTTGGACACTGACCTTTAGGAAAAGTTTACTGGTATTCTTTCCAAAATACTTTTATAACAGGCCTTTGGAAATAAAACGTTTTGGGAACACAGTGTGGATGTCCACAGGATTCAGAAAAGGCAGCACAGTTATCTTCTATCGGCTGTGTTATTGGGAACTAAGAGGCGTGGGTTTTTTGTATCGAGAGCATTCACATACAAATAAACTGAGGAGCTCATATAACTCTCTGATATCTACTATTGTGTGATATTTGGTTTTGAACAATGTAAAATGTAATTTAAATTGTATCATTGTAACATACCATTTTCCGCATGGTATGGTTATTTACAGTCTCTCCAATGTGCTCTGCTAGTCCAATAAAAATGACTTACTTTTTATTAAAGGGAATTATTTGATTTTCACAACGTTGTTTGGCCCAGTCAGTGATAATTTCACTTCTCTTTCAACAATTAATATTACAAACGCTCACTAAATGCATACTGTGTCCCAGTAGCATAGTACAGTATAAACTAATAATATAAATACTAATAAATTATAAAGGTATATCCAATGTATTAATTCACAGGGTTTTTTCCCAGCTGCATGCAGCTTTTTAATTGTATGTGATTGTGGGACAACAGTGTCTATCAAAACCACATTCAAAAATAAAATTACTTTAATGTGCATTGTAGCATTTTTAACATACATACACTTGTTATTTTTCCACTGTGAACTTAGACCTACTCCAAACTCCACCATAGAATGAGTAAATACTTTGCTATCAGGACACAGGAATAGTCTATGATACACTAGGGATCTAAAGAAGGTTCCTCCAATCGGATTTTGGCTGGCAGTTCCTTTGACCAATGAGATGGATGTAGAGCGAATTCCACTTCCTCATTCATGCAATATTAGTAGTCTCCAGGAGTGGCTCTGCAACAATAACTCCACATGCAATATTGATGGCTTGTGTCTAAACGTAGAGAGGGTGCTGCTACACAAACACACACACACACACACACACACACACATCTGCTCCGTGACTTCATCAGTTCTGCTCTCTGCCGAGCAGATGCAGGAGCTTGCCAGGCAATTAGTTGCCTGCGATGATTTTCTTTGAGCTCTCTATGGAGGGAGCAGCTGGGTCCATCCGGGTTTGGGACACAGAAACAAAATGTGTGAACAAGAGCATCAAAAATGTACTCGCTCAGTTCACGTGTGCCGATGTTGGTCTATGTGCACATGCGCAATGTGGGTTGTTAGACAGTGAGTCACTTTCCCTGCACCTATCATGTTTCCAGAGAAAGGAAGAAGAAAACAGAGCACTACCTTAAAATGCCAAGCCTTGACATCCCCCTCCCTTATCACTTGGAATTACAAAGCACACTAACTCAAGCTGACACAGGGGAAACTTTGTTGCAAAACAAACCCATTTTTCTATTGCTGTCTTCAAATATGTCTAAAACGCAGTTCGAGATGTACTGCTTGGACCAAGGTCACGGTTACAACTGTGCCCCACTATGCTATAAATTACTTTTTACTTTGCATTTTTTGTACGTACAGTATACAGAATACTCACAATTCAGACTGAAGACTCAACAAGTAGATGAACCAGACTGACCAAATTATCATTGAAATTCAATTTTACTACAAACGGTATTACATTCATTAAACAATGAATATATGATCATTAAATAAGGGACCAAATATGTTTCAAATAGTTTTACTAATTGTAAACAATGTTATGAAAACAGTGTAGTATACACAGTACTGAGCCACCTGGGGTTACCCAGCATAATCTGGTAGGAAAGGAGAGGGAGAAGAAGTATAAAGCTGAGACAGTAGGAAAGACTGGCGGAGCACAAACAGAAGAAGAGAAGCAGAGAGGTTACTCATCAGCTGGCAGAGATTTGCACAGGCATGGACACTGTTTTGGGCTCATGAGGGGATCACTGTGGAGTCGTCACACAGACTCAGATCAAAGAGCTCTCTGACAGGCCCCTGATCTTTTCTCCAGTCAATATAAACCAGGGAGAAACTCTTTAGGAACCACAGATAATTCTGAATGTTTTAGGGAGATAAAGGGCACAAAGAAGTAGCAAGAATGGATGAATGAGTATGGTGGCCTTTGTTATTATACATATTATACATCTCAAATGCTCCCAGCTGTTCTTCTGTTTTCCACCTAAGATTTTAACGTGCAGTTAGATATGGGGCTGACCTTTCCATTTTAACTGGTAAAATAGACAGGTTTAATAAAATCCAAAACACTGTATCCACTCAATTCTGCATTGCTATAAATGATGAACAAAGTTGCTCAGAAACATGTGGTTTGATAAGTGGGCTAAAACAGATTCTTAATGTCTTTATCAAAGCCTTTGTTACCATATATTTCATCGAGCTACAGTTAGCATGTCCTTCATAATATTTGGACACTTGCTCTCCAAGTAGTGTTGATTAATCTCTCTGGAGCTGTGAGCTTGATTAAAAAACAGTAATCTCTCTTATATCTCTCCGTTTCTGTCTTTTTCTTAATTCCAAACATTTGCATTACTATCACTTTACTCGAGTATGATGCTGAAGGAAAGAATGCAAAATCTCAGTTTAACATTTCTTATACATTTCACAATAAATCAAGGTTGCAAAGTCTACTGTTGCTCATCTTGCCACTGTTTCTCTAGATACTCTAGTAGTTCAAGGAAGAATATCCCAATGGATGTTGTTGTGTTTTCATTTAGCAGCTTGTGCATCAAATTCAAATGCCATGACACACCAGAAAATGCTACTCCGTAATGTTTCCCCTTGAATGTTTTTCCTTGTTGTGGACAGGTGACACCTCTCTACAGAGACCAAAGTTAATTTAACTATTCTAGGTGGGAAGATAAGCACTGCTGAGTCAAAACTGATGAAAACTGAATATTCATCCAGGAACTGTGTAATTAAAATATTGTATACAATACAGTATAATATAGTTTGTGTGACACCTTACTGCCTTTGTCCTATATAAAATACATGTAAATCTAAATTAATGTGCACTGCATTATGATGGTATATTTGTTACATTGACATGAGCTAAAATATTCAGCAGGTCTTTCATGCTGAACTAAATAATAAATTCTACATATTTAGTCATAAGTTCCCTTACACTCCCTAAAGCCTCATCAGCACTTGCAAAAAGGCTACATGATGAAGTCCAGAAGATGTGGTAACTATGAAGGGGGGGTTCCTTAATCTTTGCCTTTTCTGAAAGGTTTGTGGCTTATTTCAGAATAGCTTGCATATTTGGCTACTTCATATCAGTAAACTGGTTTCTGGAAATCATTGAGTCATTTTGTTAAATTATTTTTCTAACAAGTGACATGAAGTTCACGCATATTTTTTTTTTACATTTTATTTGCACAAAAATAATTGCTTTTTATGGACATTGATATAAGGTTTGGCAACAGGCATATAAAGCTTAATGCGTGATGCAGAGAAAATATACCGTCACTTTCCATAATGTAGATGCGCAGTCGACAACAAAGTCGGCCTTTTTGTTTCTGATCAACATTTCAAGGAAGCCATTCAAGTTGCCCGGGAAGACGGACTGAGGTCTCTGATCGTTACTGTAGGGCTAATTAATTTGCAGCAATTACAGAAATGTTTGGACTCAGTCAGTTGTCCTCCTGTGATATTTAACTGAATTACATAAGCCTTGAAAAAGTTGAAACTTGTCCAATTAACTCCATGTAATTGTAGGCTATGCCATACACCAACATGATGACCGCGACCTGGTTAACTGGGATAGTGGACACGCATTACACCACTGCAAAAGGTAACAGGCTGCATCAAAAATATTTCATATGCCTTTTGTTTTTTCCAGCATGTTTACATGTGTGTTTACAATATGTCTCACATCGCAGCCGCTTGTCTGTGGGAGAAAGTAACGGCTTCGTTAGTCCTCCAACTTGAAGTGTGGGTGACGAGGGGACTTCAATTACGACCGCGGAGAAGGACCCCCAGTTAAATTATTCAGCATGGACAAGGTTCACGGCGATAAACCCGCGGGCAAATTAACGCTAGTGTATGTGTGTGCGAGGGAAGCCTCAAACAAGCGTCTTGTTTCAGATATTTGACTCAATCCAAAATATCGACTGTGTAAATAACACAAAATGTTCAATAAAATTTAAATCAACAGATTAAGGTTATCAGGTGAACGTTAGTGACAACAGTCAGATCTTTACAGTTTATAGTTTAGGCTTCTCTGAGTCTAAGCTGCAGGTGCACTCACACATTTACTAGTTTAAACGTGCTTTAACAGAATGATAAACATTATACAAAGGCGTTAATTATTTATCGTTTATAAAAGATACAATTTCACATATGATTGTGATAAAAAAAAACACATAATAGTCTGAATAATCCTAAATCAATAAAGTAAAAAGACTGACAAATATTGTTTTATTTATTTAGTTGTAATTTACAAATGTGACCAACCATACCTGGAGTTAGATGTCTATTTCGAAAATGGGGGAAATCCCATTTAAATCCGTAACACATATGTATAAGTTTTCAAGATCTCAAGTCAGCACAGCCCGCCAGACTTTTTATGATAAAACTAGGACATGCTGCATAAGCCAAAGGATAAGAATAAATCATACTTGCTGTCAATGAGAGCAAAAACGCTGCAATCAGAGCCTTTCGAGGATTAGGAAAAACGCAACAAAAAAAAAACATTCATTTAAACCACGGAGAGAAGGAGAGAAACTATTCTGCAGAATAGAAGCAGGTCTAAAGTTAAAGGCTGTCACTCAAACTACACGCCTAATACTCTGAAAGCACTGGGCGAAAATTAGCGCAAAGAGCAACACTTTTCAACTTTTCTTGAAAAAAAATGTTTTACTGCTGGCTTACAGAGTATACACTGGCATTTGCCCGTATAAACCTAAAGGTTTGTGTTTTCCTATGTCGATTTGGGAGCAACGGACAGCTCCGTGCGCCCAGATGCTGCTGAGGCGGACTGGAGCTCTTCTGCTCTGATTGGCTGCCTGCACTGACAGCTCCGCACATGATTGCAGGAAGAGAAGCCCGACCCCTTTCACTCTTGCTAAAGGAACCATTCATAAACTACACAAGTCCAGCTCACAGCTGAGTGTGGACGAAAAGTGAGCGGGGGCACGGAGGAGAGATCAACAGCAAGAGGAGATGAGCGGTCACAGACTATGCTTTAGCCTTTAGAGTCCGCAGCCCAGGACACGGATGGTGACCCGCAACCTGAATATGCATCTACCTAGCCATGCTGGAAGTGCTCATGACTTGGACTGACATTTAGCAGGCTATTACGTTGCATCCCTATCCGTTTCCTCCTCCTCACACTGACGTCCATCCGCTGCAAAAGCAAAAAAAACTTTGATTACACACTTTTCCTGCACGGGGAAGCATTTGCCTCTGGCTTTACCGGTAAGCATTGGATCCGTCAACCTACTGCGACTCTCCGGTGTACAGCCCGGACCTCTGCCCAAACATGATTGCGACGCAGGCAAAGCTGGTTTACCAGCTTAACAAATATTACAACGAGAGATGCCAAGCTCGCAAAGCGGCCATTGCGAAGACAATAAGGGAGGTTTGTAAAGTGGTGTCGGATGTCCTGAAGGAAGTGGAAGTGCAGGAGCCCCGGTTTATCAGCTCCCTCAGTGAGATAGATGCGCGCTATGAGGGGATGGAGGTCATCTCTCCCAATGAGTTTGAGGTGGTGCTTTACCTCAACCAAATGGGGGTGTTCAACTTTGTGGATGACGGCTCCTTGCCCGGCTGCGCGGTTCTGAAGCTGAGTGATGGCCGTAAAAGGAGCATGTCGCTGTGGGTCGAGTTCATCACCGCCTCAGGCTACCTATCAGCCAGAAAGATCCGCTCCAGGTTTCAGACTCTGGTGGCACAGGCCGTGGATAAATGCAGCTACCGCGACGTGGTAAAGATGGTAGCGGACACCAGCGAGGTCAAACTACGGATCAGGGAGAGGTACGTGGTGCAGATCACCCCTGCGTTCAAGTGCACCGGGATTTGGCCTAGAAGCGCAGCTCAGTGGCCCATGCCCCACATCCCCTGGCCCGGGCCTAACCGGGTAGCAGAAGTCAAAGCCGAGGGTTTTAACCTCCTCTCCAAAGAGTGTTACTCGTTAACGGGGAAGCAGAGCTCTGCAGAGAGCGACGCATGGGTTCTGCAGTTCAGCGAGGCCGAGAACAGGCTGCTAATGGCAGGCTGCAGGAAGAAGTGTCTGTCCGTCCTGAAGACTCTGAGGGACCGTCACCTGGAGCTGCCGGGACAGCCGCTCAACAACTACCACATGAAGACCCTGCTGCTGTACGAGTGTGAGAAACACCCGAGAGAGACCGACTGGGACGAGTCTTGCCTCGGAGACCGACTGAATGGCATCCTGCTGCAGCTCATATCCTGTCTGCAGTGCCGCAGATGTCCCCACTACTTCTTGCCAAACTTGGACTTGTTTCAGGGAAAGCCTCACTCAGCCCTGGAGGCTGCTGCTAAGCAGACGTGGAGACTAGCGAGGGAAATCCTCACCAATGCTAAAAGTTTGGACAAACTATAAAGTGATTGTCAGACAGAGCCGAGAGACATTTTGGGATAAAACTTCAGAGAAGGACAAAGATGATTCTGCAACTGATTCTCCAAGCAATGTGAAAAACAAATCAGTCACAAAATAATGCCGCGAGCAAACCACAAACCCTTTTTAAATGGAGCAATTGGGCCACTGCCAGAGAGAAAGAGAAGGTACATTTTCAGATAAATGTAATAACCTTTTAGTTGTCTTCTTTAAATGTTTTCACAAAGTGAAGAACTTTTTATTTAAATATATGCACAAAATCGTTAAGTGAAAGAATAAAATGTAGCGTGCCAAGTTCAATTCTTTTTCATTATGTGACTTAAAAAAAGAAATGTTAATAAAAATGTTGCAAATTAAATTACAACTTGGCCTCGTGTCTTGACATGTTTTGACAGCTGATATGACAGGCAAATCTGTTGCATTTTATTTTGCTATTGTCTGATGAAGAGAAGCATTAAATTATTCATTTCCACGACAGAAAGCTGCCAGCAATGTTAAATGAAATAAACGCTTTTGCGAAATTTAAAGATGGAATGTGCTCAGCCGACTTTGGGCCATAAGTTATTTTTACAGCGCATCACGGGCTCAAAAAGATTTTCAAATGAATGTAAATCAACGGACTCGTGTTAATAGGCCTGGGAGCATCTCTGCTCTCAGTTTCAGCAGCAGCACAAGCAGAGGGCCTACATCAAAACTCAACGTTTAATCTGGTCCATCCATTTTAGATAATGTAGTGAAGCTTATGAGGCATTTATTGTCAAGTTTATTTTAACCAATTATATAAAAATCACATTATATTCACGTGGGTGTTTTATTTAAATCAACGTCTTTAAATACACAACTGCACATATTTAAAAACAAATTCATCTTTTCGTGGTGTGCTACACCGACTGCACAAACAGAACACACACAACCACCTGTGGGTCAGCATGTCTTCTCATGAAGTTACTGGTACTAACGACTAGAATTACTAAAATTGTTCTGTTGTGTATTTTTTATAGCACTATATGTCGGTGCAATTAAAATATGAGATCTGCTTGCATGAAAAAATATCCTGTTGACCTAAAAAAGGGTGGTGAAGTGAAGGCCTAATCCACGTGCCGTTATGTTTTGCGCACAGAGACAGTTTGATCATTTATTTCTTACAAAAAATGCATTTCTTATTACCACTAAACAATATTAATTATTAAATATTCAATCCCAAACATAATGCAATGGGAAAAAATACAGCAGGCGGTAAATTACATTTCAGTAAAAATACAGTGAAAATAGAGTCATACTGAAACATCAGCGACAGACTGACAAGACATGAATCTCTTCTTCCACAACATTATCAGATTGAAACTTAAAAACACACTAATCGAGACTTCTTTGCTTATTTACAACAATATACTAGATAGTGAGATTGAAACACTGCGTTCCGTTTACACGTAGGCAAAAGCACTTAGCATCACGAAATTCGAGCACGGCTTTAATAAGTGACCATTTAAGACTTGTTCCATGGAGCTCGAGTCTCTTACCTTTGGATCGATGGCCTTGAAGCCCGGGTCGTCTTCATCGACCTCGAAGTAGAGCTCTGAGGCGGTGAAAGACAGGGTGCCTTTCACCACCACTGCCGGAGCCACCAGCTGCGCACTGGTGCTCAAGTTTACTGGGCCTGGAGGAAGACAAACACATGGCGGTCAGAAAACAAGCAGGGTGTCCTCCTCACCAAGTGGGGACGTTTTTAAAAGCCACCAACGGTAAAAGGCAAACTTATAAAACTCTCGCACTGAGTTGGTGGTTGTTGGCCTGCAGCTGTTAGGAACACACAGGGGGCCTTCACTCCTGGACGGGGCTAATTAATAAGAAACGTCAAAAAGTGGTAAAGATAAACAGGTGGAAGATAATGACACTTTGTGGCTATTTTTATAGTTGAGACCGTTTCTCCCAAGAATTATGTTTACATAGGCCTACATCTATTTTGCATTATAGTTGTAGTGTATTAAAATATATGCGAGGCTAAAGGCTACTTCAGACACTGTCTGTAGTTTTCCTCCTGTAATTGGTCATCTGCAATTAATGGATGAGTTCAAGATAAACTGACATGCAACACTGTAGGCTGGTCGCTGTATTATATATGCATATTATTCCCCAAAAATGTAATAGCCTACTACAGTCTGAGTATCCTAACATTCGCACTAAAATAAATGACAAAAGCAGCATATAAAACTTTAAGACTTAATTGTCAAAAGAATCGACCGTCAGTCAGAATCCATTGATTGCGGGCGGTTGAGTGAAGCTCTGTTTAATCTCTCATCAATCTTAATTTATGCCAGTATGACAATGAGAGCCCGGCTCAGGGGAGCTGTGGGTGGAAGCTCTGCCCGGCTCTGCACATATGAGGCTTTGTGTTTGCAGATGTGCGCTGCAGAGGAAGGAGGCTCGGAGCCCGGCTTGATTTCCCAGAGCACCCTCACACTCATACAAACGGATGGAATAAACAGATAGGCCTAGGCTATATATTCATTCCACTGCCTCTCGTGGACCCCGTGAGTAGGCCTACTGACATGTTATCCGTGGGTTGAAATAACACTGTTGCTTTGTTTTTTTGTTCCATTCAGTCAAAGACATTCAATTACACCTGAAGCAGACAGCTGTTTAAGAGGAGAACGCTGAACATCTCCCGACAATCTCTACTCAGCTCTCGCAGTATAGGCCTACATATCACTTTATTAGACAGGGTTCAACCTTTAATCCTATTGTGATCCAATTGCGTTATTTTAATAGCACTGTGAGACCCATTAATGCAGCTTAGTCTGGTAGGCGATGTCTCTGCTCATAAAAATGGGGATTACACTGCAATCGGATTAGCGAACTACATGATATTTAATTACTTTTATTTAAATAACAGATGTATCAATAGTAAAAAAGGACTGACAACATCCTGAGTTGGATTACATTTAACATAAAGCTGTATATTATAAGTCATTTGATAAGACTAATGGGCTCATGCCGGGGTTGGTTTTATTTGCTGCTTTTCTTTAATCAGATAATGTCCCATTTCAGGGTAAGCAGTATCCTGGGATAAACTGGGCTACTGTTAGGATAAAAAAATGTTGGAGTTGCTACTCAGGCTTGTGTGTATGTAGGTGAAGCAGACCTCCAGTGGCAGACAGACAACTGCAGATACTGTGTATTTACCAGTCCTCTCAATATAGCATCACTTTCCTAGGAAATAATTTCCATGGTATTAATGTTTGGTGAGGTTTTCATTAAAACCTTGTACAATCAAACCTTTCACTTTTAAACAATTAATGCTACATGATATCTAAAAAAAAAAAAAAAAAAAAAAAAAAAAGTCATATCAAAGCAAAACAGCTACATCATATGGGAAAATCAATGAAATCCTACAGTGGGCGATATGTGCTATATAACTCACTTTTAAGTACTGCAAAACAGTGGAATTGCGTTAAGCTATATGAAAATCCCCATATTTCTTTAATTTGTCTGGGCTGCAGGACAAACAACGTAGCAGAACTGGGAGGGGTAAGAATCACTGAGAGGCATGAGAGGTAAAGAGGATGAGCCGTTTCTTTACCTGTTAAATTCTCCAGGTCCTTCTCCTCTAAGGATGACAGAGTGTCATCGTCTCCATCAAGTAATGTCTCACTCTCCGAGTTTTGATTTCCCAGAGCCTGGCTCCTGATGGACTGCTTGCCTTTGAGAACATCCTCCTCGGACGCTGGAAGAGGGGGGGGGGGGTCCTTTTTATTTTACTTTAATACATTACAGTTATAAGGTCATATACACAGTGTTGTGCATGGAGTTAAATTTATTTTACATAATACCATAAACCTGTTTAACTTTATTTCAGTGCAGAGTTTGGTGGCTTTCAAACTTTCAATGATCACGTTTGGGCACTTTTTATTGAACTGAAACCAAGCATCCAACATCTTTAGAGTAAATAAAAAACAGCAATTACACAGCAAGTAACCGTTACAAACAGTACATACTGACAAAGGAGAAGTTGTTTTTATGCCCCATCACAGATTAACTAAAAAAACATAGCTGTGCTCTAATATGAACCATCATCTTAGTTTCCACTGGCTTAATTTAAGCTATAGCTGTTAATACTGTGGTGCTAAGTAAAAACAAGGCTGTCCGTTCAAATCAGTGGTTATCATAACAACCATACAAAAAATTCAAATTTGAATATAGTATACAATTTTATTTCCAGAGCTGCATTAATTTACCACTCTTCATAAAACACAGAGATTTGAGACTGTAAAGTAACCTGGGTTATTATTTTTTAAAATATTATCAAAAACATCTTGTTTTTATCAACGTCCAAAAGGTGAGTATTAACTTTGACAACAGAAAAAAAAGCCAGCTATTGTAAAATATGGTGGACTTAGCCTCTAATAAAACTTATTGCAAAGTTGATGAGCACTGCTGGATCAGTTCGCAGCAATGCTGACTTGGGTTGCATTTTTAGACTCGCAGAGCTACATGCATGCAGGCAGGCAACCCGAAAACACGAGAACGAGACAGACAAAAGACTGACATAATCCTAACACTAAATGCATTTTGCCCTTAAACATACATCAAAACAAACACCGTTCCACACAAAGATTATTCAAACACATTTAAACAAAATGAGGGGTCGAACACTTCCCATTTTGATTTCAACTGAACATGACACAATGTTCCAAATAGATTATTTAAGAAAAATGGTAATCTGCAAACATTTACAGAACCCTGCATTCCCCAGTGGTGCATGGGAAGGATCCACAGACACAAGTCCACCATACAAAGACTGGCTAGCAAGTCAGTCACTCTGTAAACAGAGCTGGCATTATAGTGAGAGTTCGATGCTTCTGTGCATGTGCAGGTTTTCTAATCTAGCATTATAGTAAAAGTAACAGTTTTGATCCAGTGAAACACTGAACACATACCTAGTGGGTTTTTTCATCATCACCTGAGGGGAGATCAATTGACTTCCTAAAAATGCACAGCCGTGTCATGTGGCCATATACTTTTAAACTGCTACAAGAGCTGGGATAAAAAATCCCTTGTCATGGAAAATATGCAGCTCACTGATATTTAGAATGGTCTTCCTGTAATTAAGCCTCCCTGGAGGATTCTTTAGTTAGCAGCACCGAAATTACTACCAGCTCCTCTAATACGTACCACATGCCATTGTATTCACACCAAGCAAGTGGACAGGGGACTTATCATGAGCCTAAAAAACAGATGTATTTGAACTTCTTTCACTGTAAACACGCTAGGCATTTCTCACCCCAGTATTACAAACATACAGTATCAAGTCTTAAAAATACACACTCTGATGCAACTAACCCTTGTGACTGGGCTGATCCA